GATTTATGCGCATTTGCGAGACGTCTCACGCCGGAGACGAGAAGGAAACAATAGAGAGATTACGAAGCTCTAAAAATACTTCAAATTCACGACAAATCTTCGATATACGGGACAGGTGTCATTGCCTAACGAGAATTGCTCCCTGCACCGTAGAAAGATTTCGTTGGATGCAACCCCATAACGAAATTAAAAAAAGTACCTCAGAACCACCCCTCTATATGCACTTGATTCAATCATGCTTTTGGCGCCGGAAACCGAGGAAGGACATTTGAACACCTTGCATCAACGCCCTTTCCATTGCAAACAACATCACGCACCCCATCTATCCTTCTTATCTCTCCACCATTTCGTATTCCCAACATCATGGCATCCCCCTCCTCTCGCGCATTCACACCTCCACTGACCCTTCCTGCATTGTCCCCGCCCTCCCCGTCTCATGAATCCCACGGCACCCTCGCCCGGACCTCTCCTGTTCCGACATGCCAGGAAGGCAACACACCCACCCCTCAGATCACGGCTCCTTCCCCTCCGCCCGCGAACTCCATCTCTGCAGCCGCTCTCCAAACTGCACTTACGCAGTGCGGCGACCCCTCTCCCCCACATGCACGCCAGCAAAAATTTGCTCCTCGCTCTAAGCGCTTCCGCTTCAGCGACTCGGCCGACATCCTGCTTTTGAAAGCGGTGTCGGTTGCAGAAGCGCATGTGGCACCATGGGGTCGAAATGGCATTTTATTTGAGGAAGCTCACTGTACATTCATATCCACGGCGCCCCCGGCGTTGTTAGGAGAGAAGGACCCGCCCTCCCGTAAGAGTTTAGAAGATCGGTTCAAGGTGGTTATCTCGAAACGACGTTCGGACAATAAGAAATCCATGGCATCGTCGGGACAAGTGTGTGGTATAACTACCCACGTCCCGACCACTCGAAAACGAGGGGGGGATTAGTGTGAGGGAGCGCGCGACGCGGGGTACCCACGCAAGCGCGGACCGATCGGAAGAACTCGTAAAGAGGGAAGTCACACGTGGCTAGTGACGCGCAGCTGAGTGGAGGTGCTATAACCACACAGCCGGTCACGGGTCAGAAGCCTGAGACTTAGAGGTAAAACCGGACGGAGTTAGCAAAAAGCCGTAAAGGGAAGGGAGGCGAGTCTACCTCCCGCTTACTGGAACGGGGCAGGTGCCCCCGGTCTTAACCCGTAAGTGGGACGCCAGGACACCTGTCCCGCTACAGTAGCTGTTACTTACTGTATACCAGCTACTGTGCTAAATTGGCTAATTTGTGCCATTAACTACTAATTGCTAATTACTTACCGTTCGGATCCTACACGTGTAACCAGCGGGGTACCACTGTACTCTGCACGGGCCGTGTGCTGTAAATATAACTCCTTACAGTTCTTCTCGCGCTTACAGCCCATCGTACTGTATCCCGGGGCGGCAGCGGTGGTGCGATTGCCTTAGCGCCGTTGTACTACAAAGTGGAGGTGTATGCGGAGAGGGAGACGTTGCTCGACGATCTCATTTTAGACATGGACGAGCACGCAGAGGGGGAGCAGGCGGCCAAGGACCAAGGCCTGGAGAAGGAGAAGCGTTTGGCAGTTGCTGGGGAGGAACTGAGGAGCATGGCGTTAAACCGGACAGCTCGTGGTGGGGCGGAGACCGCGGGTCATACTGTAGAGGTGGAAGCAGATAACCGTTCTCAGGGTACTGCCAGTTGCGCTTCGCCGGGAGGGGGGAGGAACCCCAATGCTGGGAAGACAAGGCGGAGAATCAATTACGAGTCGGACGAGGATACCACCGAAGCCCTTGTACGAGATATGGAGTCGCGTAGGGAGCAGGACAGTCGGCTGTTGGAGTTGGAAGAGAGAAGATATGAATTGGAAAAGAGACGTGTGGAGGAAGAAGGAAATCGGTTGGTTTGTCGTCGTTCAAGCGTCAAAACGACGCGAGCTGGATGTAGAGGAGAGAAAGATGGATGTGGAAATTGAGGAACGGAAAATGGCCAATCTCAAAAGGAGCAAGATGATCGACTTGTTGGCGGCCCTTGCCAACAAGTTGCAGTGATGCGGCTCGCACGCTTCGCAGTGTGCGCGCCGCGCGCTTATTTTACTCTGCATTGAGGTACTGGGTAAGAGTGGGTGGGGCGCACTTAAAGAACGTTGGCACCTGGACTCCGGCCTCAAGACATGTTTTGAAGGTCAGCAATAAAGCTCAGGCCGTATACATGAGTCCAATGGGCGCCTGGTGGACTTTTAGAGCACGTGCGTAGTCGTTTAGAGACCAAAGCTGCTTGAGGTCCTCGTAGCTACATTGGACTGGTACGCGCAGTGCACTCATCTTGGTATTATATATTTCCTGTTCTACAGTTGCCCATATACGGGGAAATGCTACTTGCATCCAGGGCCAGATCATATACGCAGCATCACAGTAGAGATAATACTGCCTATCGACTATAGTTAAACAGCCCTGTAGTCGCTCCTCAAGTTGGCTCTGCCGGAGAAGGGTTAAGTCATGCCTTCGACTGACCTCAGGACCATACAAAGAAAAAATTAATCCATCCGGTGTTGTAACTGTTTGATAGATTAGGCAGTGCATGCGCTTGTGCCCCGAATAGCAACTGCGTTGCATACTACGGTGTCCGCCTGGCCTGTTCATCTTGATCTTCGTGCAGTCAATAAACCCTACGCAACTGTCTAGGGGCGCCCCTGCATTTTGGATGCTATCTGCATATAAGGGCGCCCTCTCGGCCAAAATGCCTTCACGCAGATATGTTAGCAGGTACCCCTTCCCCTCAATTAAAGTTTCTAACACCTCCCAAAAGATTTCACTCAACGCAGGTGCATGCATGCCGAATAAGTATTCGAAATCTTTCCAACGGCATGGAGATGCAAGCTTGCGCATAACTATGCAACAGGTCGTTATAGGGTCGCACCTGTGACCATTGCGCTTAGTCTTCCCGGATACCTAGCCCATGCATGCACTTATTCTGGTGATATCTTTCACCTGGAAACGGAAATCTCTTAAGGAACACTCGTCTGAAGACATGTTGAGGTTAAAAGTGTTAGAAGATATGGAGACAGATCTAAGCCTTATGCGTAGAATATCACCACGAGAACGCATCTCCTTGTCGCATTCTCGTATAAAATACCGCAAAGGCGCGTTACTTGCATGCAGTAGGAGCATGCGTCTGCGTTGATACCGATATCGCTGCATTGCACGCGCGAGAGAAAAATCAGTTTGCCGCATGATGGTTGCACTGGTTGAAAATGCGTGGTGATGGGTGAGAGGTTAGCTTTCAGACAGGATGGAATACGTATGGTAAACTTTAGCTTGTAGTGGGGACGTCTCTTACTCGCCGGCGATGGGAGACCGTCTGCTAGTTCTCATATTTACACCATATTTGGTCTTTCGTAATTACATATGAGAAAAAATCTGCTATAAATGTTTCACAAAATTCTCCGTAGATGTGTAACGAAATTTAAGGATAAATTGTAGCTTGGTAATCTCTCTAATACAATCGTTAAATTTGGAGTCTGAAATCTGTAGGCAGTCGCTTGTAGTGTTGTGTTGTGTGTGTTAAAGTGAATTGTGTTTAGATTGGGACTACCTATGATAATATGTTGCTTGATTCGCACTGTAGCCTACCAATTAGCTGTATCCTACACCTTTGTGTCACCTACCACCCACATTTGCCGTATTAGGCCTCAGGTGTACCATTCCCTTATGGAATGTGTTACCTAGCTTTAAGAACTACTTTTTAGGTACGTTTGAAAGGCTTCGTGGGTAGCAATCCTCCTTTTGGTAGCGTAGTGACACTTTTAGTTTATTTGGTAAGTATCTCCTCGAGTTCTAGAGTACTATAAATGTCTACGAGTAAACGGCCCCGGTGCTCGGAATCAAATCTTACCATCAACAAAAACCAACCACCACCGACAACCTCGCGCCAACGCGTCCCGTCTCTCCCCTGTGGCTCACCCTCCGACCACCGCACCCCGCGCCAACCCGGCCTGTGCGTACCCCTTGCACCCCGTGCCGCGCTTGGCCTGTGCTCCCCTTTTTACTCTACTGTACCCCTTTACAGTAATTTCTCCGACAGCGTGCATTGGGCACAGTGCAGTGTCCTGCAGTGCGGTTGTGAGTTAGGTCATGGCGTGACGTGACGCGTTCCCGATATGAACTGAATGAAATTCTTTATTTTCAAAAACTGTCGCCTCGTTCGTCGTCGGTTGCCCGCGTCAGAACTCACCACGTTGAGTTGGAGACAAGACGCGAGGCTAGTACTGTACGCAGAGCGTTGTGCAGAAAAACGAATAAAAACATCCTCATTTCGCAAGCAGCAATTAGGGGTGCCTGAATTCCTGAATTCGCTCATAGACGCGACAAGTGGCGCGCGCGAGTCTCTCGCGACACTTGAGCGGCAACGCGAGCGTGACGATGACGTGGCGCCGGCGACACGGGGGGCCAGAGGGCGGGAGCGGGAGGGCGGGGGGGGGGGGGGGGGGGGGGGGGAATTTTCTTA